GACTCCCATCACCCTTTGGAGCACAAGTTAGGAGTCATCAGGACTCTGTATCACAGAGCAGACAGCGTCCCCACTAGCTCGGGAGCCAGGCAGAAGGAGAAATCCTACACAAAACAGGCTCTAGAGCAATGTGGATATCCTAACTGGGCCTTCCTGAAAGCAGAGAAGAAACCCAAACAGGACTCCAGTCAGCCATCAGGTGAAAAGGAGGAACCCAGACCAGTGGTCATTCCGTATGTTGAGGGAGTATCAGAGAAACTGAGACGTTTATTTTCTAAACACAACGTCCCAGTGGCTTTTAAACCCCAAAATACATTAAAGACTGGTTCATCCCAAAGATCCAGTCCCCCGGCACAAACAGAGTAATATTGTGTATGTTGTTCAGTGTCAGGAGGGTGATCAGTCTTACATCGGGGAAACTAAACAGCCACTGGCCAAAAGGATGGACCAGCACAGAAGATCAACATCATCAGGCCAGGACTCTGCGGTCTACACTCATCTCCAGGCCAGAGGTCACTCTTTCAGGGATGAAGATGTTCACATCCTGGACAGAGAGGAACGATGGTTTGAGAGAGGAGTAAAGGAGGCCATCTTTGTGAAAAGAAATCGTCCATCATTAAACAGGGGCGGAGCCTCCGGGTTCAACTGTCCCCCTCTTACAATGCTGTGATTGCTAGTATCACTCAGCCCTCTGTGAACAGTAAACAGCCATCAGGTGCTAATGATCCATTGTTAGGCTGATGGTCCTTCTTGAGCATGTGATCAGCTGGTTTTGGTTGTCAGCAGCAAACTGGTTGATCCACTCTGAGAAGGTGCTATTTAAGAGACTGAGCTGAATACAGCACCTCAGACTGAGGAAGTCCTCAGGATGAGAGACGAAACGTTTCTACATTTTTTTGTTTTTTTTGCTTTGTTTTGTTTTTTTGAATGTCCAGAGGACCAGATTTAACATTTTTAGATAATCACTTTAATATCCATTTTAAAGCTAGGAATAAAAAGGAACGTTTTGTGTTAGCAGAATTTAATTCTAACTTTAAAATTTATCCAACATTAATAAAACTTACTTCAAGTTGCCTTTTTGGACATGCATGCATATATTTGTACAAATTGTACTTGAGAGCAGATTATTACAGCCTCATATAAAATCATTGATGATCATGATATCGGAACTGGATCGGTATCGGCCTGTATTTAAATCAGGTATCGGAATTGGATCGGAAGTTAAAAAAAGTGGATCGGTGCATCCCTAGATATGACTGTTATTTTTTTTTTGTTTTGTTTTTTTAAACGCAGCATCTAGATTATACATGTCCTTGGCAGAGGACATGTTCATGCTATTAATAGCTTTTTGAACATTAGAAAAATCGACCTCTAATCTCAAACAAATCTAGACATATTTTTAGTTGGTTTTCTATAAAGAGTATCTGTTTGGACTGGTTGAAACTGTGATGCTAAACCTTAACTGATGAAAGGAAAAAAATAATTAATTACTGTTGCTAACTGAGAAGGATCAGCTATAGTTTTTCCTTCTATGACTTCATATTGGTTATTGGCACGTGCATTGGGATATAGTAAGTTGTTTCCAGATCACTTTACCATTTCCTCTTGCTTCTGATAGGACATTTATAGTACTATGTGGCACTTGATGGAAATGAGTTTGACACCCCTGCCTTAGAACATTCTTGCATAAATTTCAAGGAATATGAAATAAAATGAAATATACTACTTCTCTATCAGTTTTCCACACCACAACATTTTCCCCCAACCAAAAATGGTGGTTCAACATCACGTCATGCCGACTTTGAGAATCTGTGTGATTGTCAATTATTGCTATTAAAGTACCAATCTACATTGCTGCTTTAAGTTCTTGCATTTACAAATTGTTGGTGGAAATTGCAAAACCCAAGCTTGCTATCAGCTCTTAGTGTTCTTTTGGACAGACAATTGTAAAAAAAAAAAAAGCTAACATTGCTTCTGTATCACTTCTGCCATACTAATTGTTTGGTTTCACCATTTCAGCCTTCAAGACGAAGTTGCAGCAGACTTTACTTCTCTCACCAAGACGCTGTATGACCTCCACAAATCGCAGGAGTCTGCAGGATGTAAAAGCAGCCCGTTGGCCCAGCTGGTTGTGGATGACTTTGACGAGGAACAAATTTGGCAGGAGCTAGAACTACAGAACGAAGCTGTACTGAAACATTTTCAAAATGCCATTGATGAGGTTTTGTCAGACCAGACCTTAACATTGTTGTCAGAAGAGGAGGAGCAGGATGAAGGGGAGCAAGCAGTGACATATGATGAAAATGTCATTAAACCTCTGCCAAGACTGAAAAAGAAAATAGCTATGGAAGCAGAAGATGGGTCAGAGGGAGACTCTGAGGATGACTCGGATTTAGATTTTGATGTTGATGCTCTTGAAAAACAAGAGAAGCAGAAGAAGGAAAATGTAAGGACAGGTTCTAAAACAAGAATGAATCCCTCTGTGGTTGATGATAGGTTTTTCAAACTGTCAGAGATGGAGTCGTTTCTTGAAGAAATGGACAAGCAAGAAGGAAAGGAAGCAGAAGATGAAGACGATGTTGACTACTTTCAAGACCTGCCTTCTGATGAGGACGATGATCTCGACTTAGAGCAAATAATGTCCTCTAAAAGGAAGAAGAAAGACACTGTATGGATTTGATTTCACTTGACTTTGTGTCATGATGAGACAATAAAGGGCAGTCTAATGTATTTTTCTTTCTATTGACAGGTGAAGAGCTCCAGAAATCTCAAGTACAAAGACTTTTTTGATGCTGTTGATGGCGAACCAGCTAAAGGCGATGAGCAGTCAGATGGAGACGATGAAAGCCATGAAGAAGGTGATGAAAAAATGAATGATGACGAAGATGATGGTGAAGAGGGGGACAATGATGAGTAAGTGTGATCAGAGATATGTAGTTTAATTTAATCTTTTTATAATCTGTGGGAGAGGCATGCTGGTGAAATTCTTCGTCTTTGTGCTTGTTAGAGACAACCAGGGAAGTCAGTCTAAAGCTCATCATAAGAAAGTGACCTTTAACCTCACGGGGGACGAGGACAGCGAGGATGAGGACATGGACGAGATCCTTGGAGGGAAAGCTCCAAATGCAGAAAAGTCTGAGTTAAAATCTTCATTTGAGAAACGACAAGAGAAGGTAATCAGGTTTCAGGTGTTGCATGTGTATTTTGATACTGTTTAACTGAATCACAGGAACTTTTCCGTTGAATGAGAGTTGAAATGATAAAAATCAAATAAAATGAATGCTCCAAGCAGGAATCTTGGAGTCAGTGTGAGATGGTTAAGAATGTGTTGTCTTTAGTTATAAACAACAGAGATTTTCTCGAGAATGTGAGGAACAGTTTCTCAGCACTCACAGTAGGTGTCCTGATGCATGCTCAATAATCCAGGTAGAAAAATCTAAAAAAGTTAAGTCTGGCCCTCTGGACATTTAAAAAACGAAAAGCAAAACAAAGAAACAGGAAAAAAAAGTAGAAACGTTTCGTCTCTCATCCTGAGGACTTCCTCAGTCTGAGGTGCTGTATTCAGCTCAGTCTCTTAAATAGCACCTTCTCAGAGTGGATCAACCAGTTTTGCTGCTGACAACCAGAACCAGCTGCTCACATGCTCAAGAAGGACCATCAGCCTAACAATGGATCATTAGCACCTGATGGCTGTTTACTGTTCACAGAGGGCTGAGTGATATGTAGCATGTATGATGTAGATGCTAAAAATCAGACAAAGTATGGTGGTGATCACTCAACAGTATTAGTAGCAGGCCAGTTATCAGAATGTTCTTACATTTTGCCTCTTGAAGGGTTATGGTTGCATTTAAGAGCACACAGGGACAGAAAAACAGTGCATAAGGTGCTTTGTATTAAATTTGATGTTATTTACAATATGTACAAAAAAAAAACTCGGTCATCAGTGTTATCATTCCATTCATTATGTCAATCAACAAAATATTTCAATAGATGAATTGATTTCCCAAATTATTCAGTCAAGTCAAGTCATATTTATTTATATAGCACATTTAAGGTCGTTTTCACACTAGATAGTCTGGTAGACTCGGTTCGGTTGGGGACCAATATTCATGACATTTTGTTACATTTGAGCTGGTGCGTTTGCATTCACACTGCACTGTGCAGTCGAGTCAACCTGTTGAACCAACCTGTTCCCCCGCTCGCCTGTGGGGGCGCTGCACCAAGAACTACTGAAAGAAACGACACAAAAACCTCTGAAGACACTTCTTCTTCTTCTGTAAATAAAAATAAAACGAAGTGGCATCAAGTTTTAGCAGTTTTAGGAGTTATATTTTGTCATTTTTCAAAAATGGACTTAGCATGAGCAGAAGATGAGACAGAAGACCCTGGAGAATATTGTTTTTCCACACAAGGCAGCTGACGGCTCCATATAAGAGAAATGCAGGTTTGTTTACCCTGTGGAGCGGTCCGGTCTGTTTACATTCACACTGTACTGGAACCGTGCTGGAGTTTGCTTCTACCGGACCGAGACCTAGGTTTTAGCCCGGGCCAGAGTTCGCCTTTTTGTTCCGTGACAGAGTTCGATGGTGCGTTCACACCTCCCTAAACGAGCCAGACTTTCTAGGAAAACGAGCTAGAGTTGGATTAAAGCGGACTAAACAGGGCTGGTGTGAATGCACCCTAAAACAGAAACTGTTACCAAAGTGCTTAACAAAAATATCACAACATCAAATAAAAAGTAGCAAGATATATTTACAGCACATGGAATAAAAATATAAAACCGAAAACATAATTAGAAACAATGAAATACTAAATCAGATCACGTTGTGTCAAAAGTCAAGGAAATAATAACAAAAAGCATAAACTCAGTCAGAAACAATGAAATACTAAATCAGATCTGATGACCTTGTGTTGAATAGGAATAATAACAAAAGCATAAACAGAATCAGCATCAATGAAAAACTAGATCTAAATCTGATCACCCTGTGTTACATGTCAATGAGTACAGATGTGTCAGTGAGTACAGATGTGTTTTTAGGAGAAGTTTAAAAGCAGAGACTGAGGTGGCCTGTCGAATGTTGATGGGCAGATTGTTCCAAAGTTTAGGGCCCACGACTGAAAACGCTCGATCTCCTCTGAGCTTCAGCTGGTTTTTGGTACGGCCAAAAGCAGCTGGTCTGATGATCTCAAAGCCCGAGAAGGAGTATAAGGATGAAGAAGGTTGGAGAGGTATGATGGTGCAAGGCCGTTAATGCACTTGAATGTCAGCAGGAGAATTTTAAAATCAACTCTGACACGTACAGGAAGCCAGTGAAGGGAGGAGAGAACCGGAGTAATGTGCTCAAACCTGTGAGTTCCTGTTAGTAGCTGAGCTGCAGCATTTTGTACGAGCTGGAGACGTGAAAGTGAAGCCTGACTAACCCCAACATAAAGCGAGTTACAGTAGTCCAGCCGGGTTGTAATAAATGCATGGACTAGTTTTTCAAGGTCGGATCTGGACAGAACGGACTTAAGCTTTGATATCTGCCTTATCTGAAAGAAGCTTTTTTTTGTAGAACAGAGTTGATCTGTTTATTAAACTTGAAGTCTGAGTCTAACACTACCCTGAGATTGTTAACCAACTGCTTTAGATGAGGCTGAAGGAAGTGCAGGTTTACAGGATCAGTGACAGTGGCAGAGCTTGGGTTAAACACAATGACCTCAGTCTTCTGATCATTAAAACTCAAGAAGCTTGCAGCCATCCAAGTCTTGATGTCATCAAGACATTTTAGCAAAGGCTGGATGGAGCAGGAACTGTTTGGTTTTAAAGGCAGATAGATCTGAGAATCATTGGTGTAACAATGAAACAAAATACCATGTTTCCTCAGGATTGACCCCAAGGGGAGCAGATACAACGAGAACAGAAGGGTTCCAAGAATGGAGCATTGTGGGACCCCACAGGAAAGAGGGACAGAAGTAGAAAAATGATTGTCAAAGTTAACACAGAAACTCCTGTCACCCAGATACGAATGGAACCATTCTAGCACCACCCCTGTAATCCCAACCCTGTGTTCTAGCCGTGACATAAGGATGCTGTGATCAACAGTGTCAAATGCAGCGGTAAGGTCGAGGAGTACCAGGATCACAGACTGACCAGAGTCATTTGCTAGCAGAATGTCATTACAGACCCTTACTAAAGCTGTCTTGGTGCTGTGCAGTTGTTTAAATCCTGACTGAAAAATCTCAAAATTTCCATTTACATTCAAAAACTTGGTTAGTTGACTAAAAAGTCAGACCTCCATTGCACAACTACAACTGGTCCAGAATGCAGCAGCCCGATTTTTAACCAGTACAGGCAAAAGAGAGCACATTACACCAGTTTTGGCCTCACTGCACTGGTTACCGGTTCACTTTCGAATCCAGTTCAAAATACTCATGTAGGTCTACAAATCACTGAACAGTGTCGCCCCCCCATCTCTCTGATCTGCCACAACCGTATGTCCCACCACGCTCCCTGAGCTCAGCAGACCAGTTGCTCCTCACAGTTCCAGGAACTCGTCTTAAGCGCAGAGGTGACAGGACCTTCTCTGTAGCAGGACCAAGACTCTGGAACGAGTTACCTCTGCTTGTCAGACAGGCCCCCTCCCTCTCGGTTTTCAAGTCCTGTTTAAAAACTCACTACTATTCAGTAGCTTTCAACACAAGATGATCTGTGTTTTGATCCTGTATGCTCCACACTGGTTAGTTGTCATTATCTGCATCGTTTTTATGTCTATATTTCTGATTTACTTCATTTTGTATTTTGCTTTGTGTGTTACCTGTTATTTTGTCTGTACAGCACTTTGGTTGGCCTTGTAGCTGTTTTAAGTGCTTTATAAATAAAGTGGTATGGTATGGTCCCTGCCAGGAGTCCAACAGATTTTTAAAGCCACTTAGAGAGGTCAAGGTCGAGAGCTTCAATTGTTTTTGTAAGGTATTCCAGGAAACAGGAGCGGAGTAGGAGAAGGCCCTTTTGCCTAGTTCAGTCCTCATTGAGGGAACACTGCAGGTAATAATGTCCTGAGCGCACGCCGTATCTGCACTTACGCAGAGACATGTAGGAGCAGATGTATCAAGGCAGCAGACCAAGAAGTGATTTAAAGATGAAAATGTACCAGTGGGAGAGTCTGCGTGAAGTTAATGATGTCCAGTTAACCAGTGAATACCGGGTGCAGTGGTGGGTATGATAATCACAGCCAGTTATGAATCTTAGTGCACCATGAAAGACATCATCCAACATCTGCAGTGTTCTTTTTGGAGCATTCATGTAAATAATGTCACCGTAATCAATGGAGGGAAGGAAAGTCACAGATACAAGGTGTTTCCTAGCATTCAGTGTTAGACAGGATCAATTTGTAGACGAACAGATGCTTAGATATATTCATCAATTAAAACGGATTCTTCATTTTTCTGGACTGAATAAAACGTGCATTGAATTTAATAAAATGTAACGTGAGACGTTATATATCTTTGACCCATCAAAATGAATGTGGCCATTTATTTACAGAATCAAAGTTTAACATCAAACATTTACATTAATTTGGCAAAATATGAAAATAACAACATAATTAAACAGCTTTACAGGTAGTGAGAAACAATACGGCGATTGTTTTCACTCTTCAGCAGAACAGCAGACATCAATCCACACGGCGGTGGAATGAGCACTTTACACAGACATTTCTAAAATATCTGGAATGATTTCTACTTGATAGAAGAATTTAAAGATGGAAAATGAAGTTTAAAGGGAGTAAAAGATGGTGTGTGAGGGGGAGTGTTGACCAGAACCGTCACTCTCCATTCGAACCCAGCTTTTCCTCGGTACGCTCGGTAGTAAACTTGACTCATTACCTCTCTGAAGATGAATCAGCAGATACGGAGTTCCAGTTAACGCTACCTGTCCAGCGTCTCCATAGGATGGCTGTGACTCGTCCGAAGTAGTGACGAGATTCCGTCCGACACAAGCTCACCTCAGCAAGTGGACTTCACATGAGTGGAGTCCTTCAGAAGTTCCACTCAGAGGTGGAAGATGTTATAATCCAAACTCGGAAGAGCCTTATCATGGCTGGACTTCTGTTCTCCCAAACGACTGGAGCTGCAAACTCTCCAGCCGACTCCAACGGCAACTCACAGAACAACGACTTCACAGAACTGCGAA